GATTGATGTCTTTTCACTTGTGATTTGAAACCGCAAGATTGATGTCTTTTCACTTGTGATTTGAACCGCAAAAAAATCTCCAACATTTTTCCGAGTGTCAAGAAAAACTGGTTTGAAAATTTTCGATTTTTGTTCAATTTCGAACTTAATACGCTCGTTATGCTGAAATTTACTGTTTTTTAGACTTTGAAGGTAAAAAACTTCATTTTATAAAGAAAACTAGTTTTGGATGCTTCATTTAACTGGCAAAAAATTTTCCAAATAAAATTAATTTTATCCGTTTTTTTTAAAAATTTTTGAAGATGCCTAATTCACTAGTTTTCTACCCGATCGTATAGTTCTCGAATCACACCATCCACTAAAAACGACGACATTAGTTTGAAAAACAAATTGAAAAAAAAAACTTTTTTCTGTTTTTTTTAAATGAATATGGTCGGAACATTCTGTGCTACTTGCACAGCAACCAGCTGTCCTTGTTTGTCAGTTGCATCTAGCTGCATACCTTCAAAAATTAAAACGTATTGCATATTTTCCGTTGAGTTTCGTTAAGAAATTATCAAAGCCAAAATGTATTCCAATTTTTATATTTATGCATTTAATGTCTCACACAAATAGGTTAGATTGTTTATAGATGCTCAAGCCCCGCCAGATACGCTTTATAATCAACAAATGGTTTATTGAATCTATGAAACGCACTCATATTTTTCATCCGTTTGATCCATGCGTCCAAATAAGGAAACCCCGTGAAGTCAAAGTTCACCAACTCCAGTTGCGTAATCGACACGAACACAGCCAAGTCGGCGAGAGATATGGCGCCATCTGCCAAATAAGGATGGGCGTGCAATGTCTCGTTGAGTGATCGTAGCTGGGCGATGATTGTTTCCGGCACCACAACTCCTGGCTTGCATACCAGGCGGTTCTCAATCACGTATTTTGCGAACTCGGTAATTGGCGGGTAAATTTGTCTGGCGTCCATGTCCAGAAGTGCATCAATTTTGTACCTTAAACTCAACAGTTTGAGTTCAATAAATGAAAATTCTTCAATCGTTTTATGTAGAACTTTTTGTATTAACTGAAATTTTGAAATATTTTCAAAATGCCTCCTGCAACCCTCCAAAACCTTATCAATTTTCTTAGGTAATCATCTGAAAAAAGCCATAGAAAAGCAATTATTAATAATTAACTAATCAAGGCGGTGGAAGTAATCAATAATAAACGACAAGCAGTCAAGAGTGCGTCACATGCCTTCGTCTGTCGTCCCAACCATCGGGGTACAGGCTGATGCCTCGGTTGCCCCCGTAGACAGTGCTGGCCGCGAACTTCCTGCACAAGTACTTCATGATGGCCCGATGCTCCACCGGGAAGTCCGGGTCGTCGGTGTCGCTCGTGAGTCGAGGCACTGCATGGTAGGGGTCCAGGCTCTGGTGGAACCTAATTGCAGCGAGTTTAAAATACCTGTTTTTCTATAAACATCAATCAATAACCAGAAAGAACAATCTGAGAACGTAGACAAATATTTCAGAAGAAGTTAAGAAAATAAGATGTGGACTGCCCTGGATTTTGAATGGTGATTTTATTGTAAGACTTGCCGATTTTTGTTCCGACCACTTGAAAAATGGGGAGGAAATTTGTATACCGGCGTGTTTAAGATTTTTTTTCACGCAAAATCAGGTAAAACTTCACGCAAATTCACGCACTTTTTTCTTTGTCACTGTTTAACAAAAATTGTTGTCCAGTTTGCTTAGTTTACTATGACGGTCGAATATGCCTTAGTTCTATTTTTTTGTTCTGACTTTTTATCACACCATGCAGATGTATTTTTGTGTATTTTTTTAAAGACTATGATCGGAGAATTCCGTGCTACTTGCACGGTAACGGGCTATTCTTGTTTGCTTTTGAATTTTATAAACTAACCTAAAACGTAGTCTGAAAATGGCCATATGCTACTCTGCAACGTGCACAATTTCTCCATGATCGGCAAAAAACGTTTAATTTTATTAATAAACTTATCTGGGTCCTTTAAAATTATAAAATTATAGCCCCCCTCCCCCAACCCAAGGCTAGTAACAAAAAAATTTAGCACCGACAACCGTGATTTTTTTTTATTTTTAGAGGGCTTTAGTTTGCTGTGTGGGTTTTAAATTGAGTTTTTTTTTTGGGGGGGGGGGGGTTAGGTAGAAATTTTTGAAAGCAGACTGATCTACACCCACCGCATGTCTTTGAAGGAGTTGATCTCCGGCCTCACTTCGAGGAGGTTCAAATTGATGTCGAGCAGGACTGCTGTTAGGTGCACTGCCCTGCAGGGGGGACCAATGGCATACTGGTACAGAGGAAGGGGGTGACTCTCCTTCACCCTCCCCCACTGGTTCACCTCTTCCGGTCGCCACACCTCCTTTGTCGACTCTTTCGCCTGGTCTCGGCTGAAAGTGATAAAATACTGCTGAACACATGTCTTATTTAGCATCTCATAAAAATAAAAAACTTTTTAGAATAATCACACAAAGTTTACTTTTTGGAAACTTGAACTAAAGTTTCGCTCCAGCTTTTTCACAGATCCGACGAAAAAAAAATCATCCTACGCCATATGGTTCCGGAACTACGTGATTTAGAGTGCATTTTTTGTACGGCCCATATGGCCGGAAATCTCATAGGGGCCAAAAGTGGTATCGTAATAAAAACCCTGCTAGTCGTGGTTTGGAATACAAAAAAATTCATTAAGCTTTTTCAATATCGAAAAAAACTGCCCTACAATTTTGGCGACTCCGACCAATATAGAGCATCATTGGTCCAAAATTTGGCTTTCAGATTTGTTTTAATTTTGGACCTAACTTTTAAAATTGATAATAAACCTTCAGGGGCGGATCTAGGATTTTCTCCAGGGGGGGGGGGCGGATTTTCAAAAAGTTTTCGAAAATTTTGTCGACCTTTTTTTTTAGGTCGACCGAATTGATTTTCCGAGCTCTCCCAAATCACTAAAAAGACCCTGTTTGGGTAATTTTTCTGCGCCGCAGGAAAAATTTCGAAAAAACAGTCCAAAAAAGGCAAAAGGCGTTTTAGGCACTTTTTGGAAAATTTTGACCAAAAAAGCGCGTTTTTTCAGCGCACGCTCCCCCCTCAAAATTAGTATATATTGGCGCCAAAGGCGCCTGTAGAAAAATTTTAGGGTCGGTCGGCCAAAAATTTATTTCGTAAAAAGTACCAAATGGGGGACCCTTTGGGTCGACAGGGGGTAGAATCCCTGAGGGGGGGGGGGGAGTTTGCGTTCGCAGCCCCCCTCAATCTGCCCCTGTAAACCTTAGTAAAATAGTTTCTATAGTCTTAGCAGCGCCCTTCCAGTCTCTCATCTCCCTTTCCTCGCAAAACACGAAATTTGAAAATATGTTTTCTTCCCTTTTTGTTCTTGCAAACATAATTCTGGTCGATCGGCACGTTCTGTAATACTGTAACAGCAACCGGCTAAACGAATAATTATATTAGTCTATTTTTGGGGGGCGGGGAGATTTTATCTAGATCTTTTGTCATTAACTGCTAAAACTTTTCATATTGTTGCTATTCATTGAGCATTACCTAACGAATTAAGAAAACAAAGTCGTTGGCGTACCATTAAGTTCTTTTTGTGATGAAATGGTTCTAAGCCCTGCATGACCAATAACCGGTTCTGATAACCCAAGTTTACCAATTTTTGATATCAATTATTTTTGCCCAAATTAGCATTGTGAAGTCTATATAACATAAGAATTTTGTTGAAGTGCGAAAAGATATTTCGTTGAAAACAAACAAGGCTGAGTAATTTAGCTTCAAAAAAACAACTGAGAATCTTTAAAACTTGTGCTGAAAAAAAAAGAATTAAAAGAATTGAAGCAATGTATGAACAAAATGTATGATCAAAACTAAAAACTGCAACATTTCAACACGTCTGTACAGACAAGAAATGGATTGCAATTGATTCTATACAAATAAGGTAACCAAGAGCTGAAAACAAATTTGTTTTACATCAATTTAAAATCACTCTAGTTTGACACAAAACTGTAGATAGCGTAAAGAATTATTTTCAATCAATTCTGAATCATTTTTAAATCCACGTTTGTCAATTTTTTTTGCTTTTTTTTCACACCATTTTTGAGCAACAATAAAATCAATTTGAATCGACTTTCGTCCACTTTTTTGTATACTCATTTTATGCAGATTCTATGCATATTATATTCAGATTTTCTCCGTCATCAAAGAATACCCGTACGGAACAAATCTGTAACTCTGACGAGAAATACTGAACTTTGTGGTTCGGCGGGTGTGCCTCCCATTATGTAACGTAACAAGCGGTTTATTGAATTGATTATAGAGGTCATATTTTTAGCGAGTGAGGTGATGATTATGTCAAGGCCGGTACTTGCCGACCATGTTAATGTTCATTGCTGAATGAAAATCACTCTCTCGTTATCTGGTGAAAGATACACATATCTCAATTGCTTTATTAACCAATTCACATTTTATTACAATTACTTTTGTAATTAAGAGTCTGTCGGTTGACATTCCACATGACATTCCACATGGCGTTTGTGGTTGACATTCCACAAACTTCTAATCTAAATATCTGGCCAGAAATTCTTCTGGTCGGAAATAAGCTAAATCTAGGCTAATTCTAGCTAGAAAAAATTATTTTGTGTCCCGAACGCCACCCTACTATTGGATAGACTGTTCTGCTAACCACTAGGCCACATGAACTGATTTTTACAATTAACTTCAGCAAACTAATGCAAAGCAAGATTCGTTACAAAAATTTTTTTTTGCAATTTGATGATACGACTCTTGTGTATACTTGAAGCACGTTTGCATATTTTTAACGTTAGTTGAGAACTAAAAAATTTTTGTACCGAAAACAGAAATTTAGGTTAGATTTTTTTAAAATAAAGCTTCTATCCAGATTAGAAACTTTGTTGAATACGGGTAAAAAAAAATCGAAATATGATTATAAGGTATGCTTTTCATTTGAGGTTCGAGTTGATATTTGAGTTGAAAGGAAACTGAGTACAAAAAATCTGAAAATTTTCTGCACCAAAATAGAAATGCTCTAAAGTTAGTTTTTCAATTATATGTTTTTTGCCTACCATAATTGCGCCTAGACCGTTGATAAAGAAAATGACATTTCAAGAAAATTTGCAAAGTTTTTTTCATACCACGGGAGCACATAAATTTGCAAAACTTAAAAAGGATTTCTTTCGTCACAATAGTTTGCAGTTAATAAATTATCTGAAGGAAAATTGAATTAAATCGATTTCAATTTCAAGTTTGTCGCAATCTCTATCTTTTCATACAAATCAAATGACTAATTGGGAGGGTAAGTCAACTATTTGAATTTGAAATCGAAGAAGCAGAAAAGATCAGATTTTGCCACACTGCAAAAACCTCCGTTCTGAGTTCCTCAGAGGGTGAAGTGCAAAAAAATATAACAAAATTGCAATGCATTAATAGCCTCTATCGCTTACCAAAACGTGGCTGAAAAAGGGATGGATGTTTTTTTCAAATAACAGTCAAAAACGCAGCAAAATAAGCATTTGAAAAAAAACATCATGCCTACAAATTAATTTTAAAAACAGCTGAATGAGCTAGTAAACTTAAAAAAACACTTTATCAGCCAAACACTGTGCGTGTACCATTTATAGTGCAAATCCTGTCTATTTCCTTCTTTTCCTCTCAGTTCCGTTTTTTGCAGAGGTATATATGAATTAGATGAGCTGCAAGAATGAGAAAACCAATGTCGCAAAAACACATTAAAAATTAATGTAATGTCAAGCACTCATCAGTTTTTTGTCTACTTGCTTCTGAAAACCTGAACACCAAAAACATTCGTAGGATTTGTTTTTGACGCACATATATTTTTCGCTTTTTTTCTTTAAATACAAATTATATATTTTTGTTATTTTTTCTATTAAATAGAATTTAATCATTAGGACTGTAAGACAATAGTTGAAATTAACCTATACCAGTTTCCATTGAGTTAGTCAATATTTGCTTGAGAAAATATACAAAAAAGATCCTAACCCATAGGTTTTTCCAACTCTTCTAGAGTGGCTGAGAAAACAACGTAGTCTTCAGGGGCGGATTTGGTGGAGGGAGGCGAACGCCCTTTTCTCAGGGATTCGACCCCCTGCCAAAAAAAACGCGATTTTGAAAATTTTGTCTGCGGCGCAGAGATTTTTGGCCAAAACAGGGTCTTTTTAGTGCTTTCGAAAACTTTTTGAAAATCCGCCCCCCTCCCCTCGTGAAAATCCTAGATCCGCCCCTGGTGGTCTTCGTTAAAATTACTCCAACTGATTTGAATTTTTTCTATGGATATCCTAAATAATCTTGCAACTCTGATTTAATTTTTTAAACGCCTTCAGATTGATGATTTTCTTATTCATTTTCATTCTAATTCATTTTCTAGAATGGCATGTTACAGGATAATTCAAGCTTCTTAATGGGGCTACTCAATAAAAGTTTTTTTTTAACGATTTGTTTGTTTAATGGCTTGTATTCTGAGTAATTGTCAAAGTTTTGCATTCTATTGACAAAAACTTGAGCTATCAAAATGTTTTAGGCTCAACTCAATTCATTTTCAATTAGTGTCTGCTTGTAACTCAAAGGAGTCGACGTTCCATTGCAATTGCTGATTCTAAATAGTACATGGTGTGAAAAAAAATCAACTAAAATTGTGAAGTCTGAGGCAAACTGGCATAGGACAAATATCATGTTGTGCAATTTGACATAGGAAAAGTTTTCACTTAGTTTTGAGAAAATTATGTAAGGCTATTTGTCCTGGGGTAATTGTTCCTGGCACCAAAAAAGTTTTACGAACGAGCTTGTGTCAACTAATTATTTCTCCCCCCTTTCCAGTTCAGTGGAGTTGGAGGAACTATATAGTTGATTTCTTTTTCTACATAAATTCAGTAGCTCTAAAAGTTGATTCGTTTTGGATAAAAATTCAATAATATCTCTAGAATGTTGTAAAAAAAGAAACCATTTAAAAAAAAGGTAAAGATTTGATCGCGTGCATAGTCTAGGAACTAGTTTTTTTGCCTAAATTATACACAAGCAATAAATTTTTATAAAATTTTCTCTTTCTGTACCAATATGTATTTTCTAGTGCTATGGTTCATGTTTTGTCAAATACGAGTCAACTACAAGGACTTCCACTGAATCCGTATAGAGGGCCTGTAAATCAGTAAACTTTACAGTTGGGATATTTAGTGCTGCCTTGAAACATACACCTAAATTTTTTCGAGGCCTTTTCCAATTTCCCCTACAACTAAATTAGGTTTTGAAAAAGTAAATTTACGTTTTCATCATGTAATGAATTTTTTCATGGTGAAAAAACTAACTATTGTGAACTGAATTTTTCTTCATACCATACATGATAACATCACACATTCGGCCATTTTAACACATAAGACAACTGAATAAGTTTGAAATGTGTGTGATGGGAGTGGAGACGAGCCATTTTCCGCGTCACGTTTGGGCGCGTCACGTGCCAAGTAAATGGCAATAAAATTCAGATGAGAAAGCAATCAAAATAAACTCAGAACTAGGTAAGTGATCCTAAAAAATGCCCTAGTAGACACAAAATTCATTCCTTCTCACCCAGCCTTGCAATTATATCAGACTTGGTATCGGGATATCAGATTATTCTGATTTTGGCCCAAATTCGAGTTTTCTTGTTTAATATGGCTGCTGAAAGCAAAAGACATTCCAAGTTTTTGGCTCGATTTCCCTCCTCTTCGGGGTCGAGGTGCTCTGCTTATATTTCGACCGTCTCAACCAAATTTGGGCATGCTTCGACTTTCACGACCTAATAAAAAAGTGTTCAATTTTTTTCGACCCTGTTCAATTGGTTTCGACTTTTTAAAAAGGTTTGCTTTCGTTCGAACACGCATGTTTCAGAACTTTCTACCAAAATGGGTATGTTTCAACTGTCTCCACTTTCTCAGCAAAGAAAAGTTCAATCGTTTGTTTGATTCATCTCACATTCGTTTCAAGCGGCGTGACTAACAATGGGATGAGTATTGCTTATCTCAACTCTGCAGATCTTAGAAATGTTCGCTTAAACTGAACTCTGCTATGTTTCGATAGTGCCCGACCTATGTTTCGACTTTCTCGCTTGAAATAGAATATATTTGAACTGTGCTCGAACTATATTTAGACTGTGCATCACCTATGTATCGAATGTGTCCGACCTATGTTCCGACTGTGCTCGAACTATGTTTTTACTGTTCTCGACCTATGTATCGAATTTCTTTATCAAAAATTGGTATCTTTCGACTGTGAACGACTTTATCGACTATCAAATAACATGAGTAAATTGACAACATTCATAAAAATGCTTTTCAGTCATTTTTGTATGATGATGCTTGAACTGAAATTAAAACTTAAAAGTCAGTGAAATGCAAAATTCTTGCATCAAAATTTTTTTTCAAATTTGAATCTTCCATTTTTTTTCAATCAAATCTGGACTGAAACTGTTGATCTGAAAACTTAAAGTAGATGAATTTTTGGTAGAATTTACTTTTTCTTGCCGCAGGATTCCTTAGATATCGAATCTCTTCAAATGATTGTTGCTGATTGCAACTTTTTGACGGAGGCATTTCTTCAGCAGGTTTTTGGGCTCTGTTTGCAACTTAAAAATTAATTTAAATCGTCCAAAAAATAAATTTAAAAAAATTATTTAGTGTACTACTTATGTTTCTATTGTGTTCGACCTGTTTCGACTTTCTCGACCAAAATCAGGTATGTTTTGACTGTGCTTTACTTGGAATCCCTTATCGACCGCGGAAAATCAGTCGAAAAGCTTCACTTGCTCGACTTTCAAAGTCGAATTATAAGTTGAGCAACTCGACCTCGGGCTTGGACCGCACCCCTCACCTCCCCCTCTTCTTTATTTTTACCGTGTAACAATTGATTTTATAATGTTGAAGATGAAACACAAATACGCTTGGCATGTGGCTTAATTAGCCTGAATGCTAATTTGGTGCTAAACCAACAAGCCGAAGTGCCAACAAGCAGAAAAAAAATATCATTCCAACGAACCGAAAATAAAACAAGACTTCTCGTATCAGGGCGAAGCTATGAAAGTTCCGACTGCCTTTTACCGTTTATGGAGCAGTAATAACATAAACAACAATAAAAAATTATATGAAAAACATTTTATCTAAAATTTGAAAATTTTTCGATGAAATTCATCCCCCCACACGCCATATAAAGTACAAAACAATTGATTTCGCTCCTTGTAACAAATCAGTTATGGCAAATACGCTTCTTTCAACCAATTTGGAACGATTTCTAAGACGGATTAAATCTCCGCTTACGCGTTAATAGCGCGAATTATATCGCGCGTTTATTAATAATAATAACAAGACTGCTCGTATCAGGGTGAAGCCCTGAATATTCCGACTGCCTTTTAAGGTCTATGGAGCATTAATAACATGAAAAATTTCACTGTAATAGAAAAAATAAAAAATAAAATTTGAAAAAATTTGAGATTTTATGTAAAAACATCCCCCCACACGTCATATTAAGTACAAAGTGATAGATTTTGCGCCTATTAACAAATCAATTATGACATAAAAGCATCCTTGAACCAATTTGGAACGATTTCTAAGACGGATTAAATCTCGCTGACGCGTTAATAGCGCGAAATTTATTGCGCGTTAATTGTTCCAAATTGGCCAAAATGGCAGTCTTTAAACCCCCATAACTTTATGAAAAAAGATCACAGGTGAAATATCTTTTCAAATTCAAGCTCAGGACAACAATAGCTTTCGAATGATATAAAAAAATTCCGTCAAAAATGGCTAGTTAAAAAGTCGAAATTTGTCTGAAGAAAAAAAAAACCCACCCCGAGCACAAATATTCCGTTACTTTCGTATCGAAAGTCGGAACAATAATAAATTGTTTGCAAATTAGATTCCATTCATTGTAAAAGTTACTACATTTACAAACAAACGAAATCACTTTGCGAGAACGCCGTGGAACTAAGCAGCCCGTTTTCAGGCGCCTCTGAAATGGCAAATTTCTTTAAACCCCCATAACTTTACGAAAAGTGGTCACAGTTGAATTATCTTTTCAAATTTAAGCTCAGTACAACAATACCTTTTGAATGATATAAAAAAAATTCCGTGAAAAATGGCTAGTTAAAAAGTGGAACTTTGTCTGAAGAAAAAAACCCACCCCGAGCACAAATATTCCGTTACTTTCGTATCGAAAGTCGGAACAATTACCATTCCAATAGCGAAGCCCAAAAATAATATTGTTATTCTAAATAGCAACATAATGTCACTGTTGTTATGCAATTTTTACCTAACTCTGATGCAGTTTACGTAGCCCTAATGTAATTTCGGCGTCAAGATGTAGCGATTAGTATATAAGGCTGTTTGTTGAAAAGATCCGCCGTCAATTTTCATAATCGGACAAATTTACAATGTTTTCAGCTCAAATCAAAGACGGAACTGTGTAACAGACGTCATACTCACAGTTGCACGAGCGTGATGTAGTCGTCTTTCGGCATCAGGGGGTGATTTTCTCGCCTGAAACTCTCCTCCGGTCCCCCATAGGCATGGTTGTAGCTCGTCTGCCACCAACTACTCTTGTAACCTCCCCCTCCCCCTCCCCCTCCCCCTGCCCCAGCAGCCGATTTAGAATCACTCGAGTTCATGTTTATGAAAAATACTACACGTTTCTAATCAGGCTAAAAAAGAATTAAGAGATCAAATGACGTTAAGAAGAGCTTTGTAACAAAATGGTCAGTTGAAACTCAAATGAAACCATGTAATGAAAAAACTTTGATATGCGTGTAAAAGCAGTTGTCGTGATATAACTTCAAACAGCATTCTATATATCTTCTGATTATCAAAAAATGTGCAAAAATAATCTCTAAATTTTGTAATTTCTATCAAGTTGGTATGTTTTAATATGTATTAAGATAATCTGTGAAAAGTTTTTCTGCGTAAAATTACAGTCAAGAGATAGTGGGCGGCAAAACAGAAATATAGAATCTGCCCCCCCCCCCCAAAAAAAAACCACTGATTTTTTGGGAAAGTTTGAAGGCTAGTTAGAAATTAACTTAGAATTATAAAAGACTGCTAAGATTATTTTAGCGTTTTTTCCTTTAATTGCGCGTATTCCAGGTTATTTCAAAGTTTTGTGTCTAATAGCCAACAATTTGGTAAACAAGGTTCTTTAGGCTCAACCTAATTCATTTTAAAATGGAGTGTGTTCGTAGCTCACAACGAGTTCAATGTACCATTGCAATCGCTCATTTCAAATAGTTCTTGGTTTGGACATCAAATAATCCACTAAAGTGTCAATTTTGGGGCCAATTGGCATAGAGCAATTATCACATGCGGTAATTTGACATAGGAAAAGTTGTCAATTAGGGCAAACTAGTCCTCAGAAGATGCCGTAGGGCTGTTTGTCCTGGGGTAACGGTTCTTAGTATCAAAAGATTTTGCATCTTAGATAGTTTGATAGTTTAAAACAAAATCGTTTGAGAAAATGCAAGAAAAATCAATAGTTGGAAGAACTATACTGTTAATTTTGTTTGTTCCATGCGACTCCACCGGGAGTTCTTATAAATATTTCGCATTTGGAAACAAATTAAACCATAGGAGTTTGTTTTTATTAATAAGACAAAACAAAAATTAATGTAAGTATTTGATCGCGAAAAATCAAGGCTGTGAATTACCACTACCACTGCAGAAAATTTAATAATCTGAAAACCTTGAATTTTCCTAGTTTTTGTATTTGCTGGAGTTTTTTTGCTATTTTTTTCTAAATAGAACAAGACTGCTCGTATCAGGGCAAAGCCCTGAATGCTCCGACTGCCTTTTAAGGTATATCGAGCAGCAATAATATTTAAAAAAATAAATGAAATAAAACAAAATGAAAAAAAAAATTCTAAAATTTGAAATTTTTTATGAAAATCATCACCCCACACGCCATATAAAGTACAAAAGGATAAAATTCCCTCCTTGTAACAAATCAATTATGGCAAATAAACTTCTTTTAACCAATTTGGAACAATTTCTAGGAGGGATTAACCATCCGCGTACGCGTTAATAGCACGAAATATATCGCGCGTTAATTGTCCCAAATTGGCCAAAATGGCAATCTTTAAACCCCCGTAAGTTTACGAAAAAAGGTCACAGGTAAAATATCTTTTCAAATTTGAGCTCAAGACAACAATACCTTTCGAATGATATAAAAAATTCCGTCAAAAATGGCCAGTTAAAAAGTCGAAATTTGTCTGAAGAAAAAAAACCCACCCGAGCACAAATATTCCCTTACTTTCGTATCGAAAGTCGGAACAATAACCTGAAATTGATATTTAAAAATTGAATTAGACTTAAATTTTGTAAACCTCTACCGAAAACAGATTGGGAGTATAGTACTTAAAAACAGCATAACAAATTAAGAAATACGTGGGAAAAACAAAATATTCAGAGCATTTTTCAAACCCAAGTCAAAAGAAAAAGAACAACAATTTTCTACTACAAATGATCCTTTCAAACGTTTTTGGAGGACCTTAGTCGTGTTGCGGTTTCTGTTCACACAGCCTTGAATATTATTTATAGCCTACACCCTCACTTGTCTTTTTGAATATCATAAAATACCGATACTTTTTTGACCTTTTATATATATATGTAATATAAATATTGATTCAGTAAATTGTAATTTTAGCCCCAAGCAATAGGATAAGACCAAACAGCTCACAGTATTGCATTTTTGATTTGTTTCAGAGTAGGAATTAGTACATTATACTGCGCGTTAATTGTCTCTAACTATTCAAATTGGAAAATTTCAAAGCCCTTTAAATTTATCAAATCATTTTGCGGGTTGAATAAAAACATTCAAAATTGTCTGAAAAATAGCCACATCGAGCACAGTTATTCCGTAACTTTCTTCGAAAATTGGAACAATAACATTGAAACTAAAAAACGATTATTTTTTTCTGTTAGATTCGCTTGTGACTGTCGTTAGCGCAATTAGATTTTGCTGTTTGGAGGTTCTGTGAGTCAATTCATGTCAAGAGGTTTCGCGCAAACATAAGAACAAGACTGCTCGTATATCAGGGCTTAATTTAATTCATATCAAATAGCTTTTGGGAAAATAAAATACTGAAAACCTACACATATTGGACAAAATCAAAGTGTAAATATTGTGCAAAATTTAAACCGACCAATTAGCTAGCCTCAATTCAATTTAAAACAATTTTGTTGCGCGGGATAATTCGCCACGCATAAAAAATTCGCGTTACGCTCTCAGCGTTTTGAATAAACTCTTCGAAGCGCATAATTTAGAATATGGCAAATTTGACAGTTTTCAACCCCCAGAACTTTACAAAAAATACTTGGAGGTAAAATATCTTTTTTGCATTTGAACTCAGGAAGTCAATATCTTCAAAGGGGTATAAAAAATATTGTTGAAAATTATTATTTCGATTGGTGAAAATTGACTGAATAAAAAACCACACCGAGCATAACTATTACATTTTCTTCGAAAATCGGAACAATAAAATCGTATTTGAAAACAAAGGTACGCAATTTCTAAAGTGCGCTAAAGCAATCTACAATATGATATACAACTTTAGTATAATTTTGTTGAAACACTGCTCTCATCGATTTCTAGTACTGGGTCATAGACATAATAAGACTGCTCGTATCAGGACAAAGCCCTGAATGTTCCAACTCCCTTTTAAGGTCCATAGAGCAATAATAACACAACGTTTACAAATTTAATTGTAATAAAAAAAATAAAATATATATATTTTTTAAAAATTTGAAATTTTTTGTAAAAACCACCCCCCGTACGTCATATTAAGTACAAAGTGATAGATTTTGCTCCTATTATGGCATATAAGCTTCCTTGAATCAATTTGAAACGATTTATAGGACGAATTAAATCTCCGCTTACGCGTTAATAGCGCGAAATATATCGCGCATTAGTTGTCCCAAATTGGCCAAAATGGCAACCTTTAACGCCCCATAACTTTACAAAAAATGATCAAAGGTGAAATATTTTTTCAAATTTAAGCTCAGGACAACAATAGCTTTCAATTTAATTTTAAAGGAATTCGTCAAAAATGGCTAGTTCAAAAGTCGAAACTTGTCTAGAGAATAAAAACCCACCCAGAGCACAAATATTCCGTTATTTTCGTTAAGAAAGTCGAAACAAAAACCCGAAATCCGATTTAGGCTAAAATGAATTTTGTGTAAGACTGGATAATCTTAAAATTCATTCAGTTTTGGAGATTGATACTCCAGATGTGATTGAAATTGGATGTTCTAAGTGAAGCAGAATTTTCTCTTGGGTAACACGAGCTACAACAATTAATTAAAAAACGGCCCAGTTCATAAATTGCAGAAAAGTTTTGAAGTCGAAATTGTTCAGCGAAATACTGGGAAAAGATTACGTCTCAAATGGCATAATTCCTAAATGGCATAAAAATGAAAAAATTTCTCAAATGGCATAAGTTTCATGCAACAGTTGCTTTGGAAAAATCGAGAACAGTTTTTTCGTGAACAAGATGAAAAAATTAATCAAATTGTCAATTCAAATGCTGATTGACATTTTATATTGAGAAACTTGTAGAATTTTTTTATCAAAAGCAAGAAGCATAAGCTTGTGGTTATTAATAAGCTTCTTGCGGTCAGTTTTTTCGACAAATCTGTTGCTTAAACTTGTTTGGAAGCAATTAATTCCAAATCTTGTTCACATGCTTCCGTTCCTTACAAAATATGCGAATCAGAAATTGATAGAAAACGTTTAAATTACAATGAAAACTTGAAATTTATGCCATTTGGGAAAAATTTCCAATTTTATGCCATTTGGGAACTATGCCATTTGGGAAGTTACCCTGGGAAAACATAACTTTTTACCAATTTCAGGTACTTAGAGGAGAACTCGTATCACGACAACTATTCTATCATTTTAAAGACCGTTGGCCTGATTCAGATAAAGTTGCCCCAGTGTGAAACATCGATCTGATGTATTTTTTTTTGGAATTACTTAGAAAGAGGTAAGTTAAATTCCGCTCTAAGTCTACTTCCGTTGTTATTCAAGCTATAACAACTGAATTTTTAAATACTCTTATCTGATTGATAAGATTCTATCTTTGTCTAAAAAATTGATTTTTAAAAAATAAAAACGGTATAATAAACTCTCCTACTTAGTTCAGTGATGTAGGAATACATTATATTAAATGCTCAAAAACTGGCTAATCGCTATGATCGGTACCGAAGAACAAAATAGCTCGTATCAAGACGAAGCCCTGAAAGTTTCGATTTCCTTCTATTTTTATGGAGAAGTGTTCTCTGAAAAAACAGATCACTTTTTTTAAAAAAGAATCATAAACAAACAAAAATTTTGAGATTTTCAAAAATCAACACCCCTCACGCTTTGTAAAAACTCCCACACGCATTTTGCGTATGGCAAAATTTTAATTAGGCCGAAAAGCATAACTCAACCCAATTTGAAACAATTTCTAAGACGGATTAAATGTCCGCTTACGCATTAATAGCATGAAGTATATCGCGCGTTAATTGTCCCAAATTGCCAAAAGGGCAATCTTTAAACCCCCATAACTTTGCAAAAATGAACCACATGTGAAAAACCTTTTCAAATTTGACCTCCGAAAAAAAATCTTTGTATGACATTTGAAAAGTTCCGTCAAAAATGGCTAGTTAAAAAGTCGAATTTTGTCTGGCGAAAAAAAATCAAACAAGCACAAATTTTCTCTTTTTTTGAAAGTCGGAACAATTATGTTAACTTGAATTACTT